TCATGAGCTTATGCCACCTCAGCGAAATCGGTGATGAACCTGTGGGAGAATGACTAGAGGCGCTTATCGGTTTGGGTTGTTGTTTGTCAGCAGGGGGCGCGTGAACTCCATTATGTAGCCCCTAGCGCTTTTGAGCGGTCCATGGATCCTCAGTTTTCAGAGGCCCTGAGAAATTCTCGGACCGATCAGTGGAGCGGCATTTCAAAGCTTTTGAGTCTGAGTGGGGAACATTGAACCTGAGGCTCGGCGGGGGTTCGAAGACGCTGCTGGTGGTGCAGATCGCGGAGCGACAAAGGAAGCCGAGGTGACAGAGGTACTTTCACTAGAGCGTTTGACACCACATGGTAAACGATTTGTTTCCGGCTGTAAGCGGTTTTACTTTAGTCGTTGGCGGTCGTTGTGTATTCTGATGTCTTGCACCGTGACATTTATCATATATAACTTGGAAAAACCGATGTCGGATGTCGAGAGATTTTCGAAACACGTCAACAGATAATCCCATGCAAATCCAAGATGGCGGACACAGACGGCAGTTGGGCCAATCAATGAGATCTCCGGAATTATTCAAGGAATATCCACCAAGTTTGCACCGATCGAAAACTATGCCAACAGAGAAATATTGATGCACAGTTCACACAGAAAACCACTTAGCAAGCATTAATCGGAAGCAAAAGTACTACCCAGCGCACGGTGATTGAAAAATCCGAGGCATCCATGGGTACAGCCAGCCTGATCATGTGTGCGTTGGTCCACTGTGATCTCTCCCCTGCGTTCATCAGGCAATTGTTGTTTTTCCTTGCATTTCGTGTGTGCATTTCCTTATATTTCCTTTATGATGAAAGGAACTATTACCGACTTTGTTTTCTATGTTCTGAGATTATGACCCCACCAAGTAACCGGCTAGGATGAAAATAGTATGCGGACTACAGCTCCCTTGTCGCTACTGCACAACACTCAAATGGGCTAACGTAAATAAATAAACAAAATAAGTAATGTATTTCTCGACATTGCGAAACACAGACCGATTGCGTGGTCTGATCATATTGTACAACATAATCACATAGTGAAGAAAATTGCCTAAGTGTAACAATGTTTCACCTGAAGGGCTGCGGGTTTCCTATCCATTAAAAGTAGTGCAAGAAAGAGCTGATATTAAGAATAACTGTAAGAATCGTCATCAGTACAAATGAAGTAATACGGCCATCCATGGTACCGTCCCCTGGGGACATGCTTCCATGCGGGGTAGTCCCTCGGGAGATTTCTTCCACACTTCCACGTCTCATCTGGCCATGTGCTGTTTGGCTGCAGACAAACCTCACTATTTTGCATCGTTTAATTAATTAATTTTTCATTGTTTTTGGCCACAAATCTGTGCAAAAGATTCTCATCACATTAGCACTTTTTTGGCCACTATTACAAGCAACTAGGCTATCAACAAGTCGATTTTCTTTTGCCTTTGTCGTGTGTACTTTCACTGCCATCACGTTTACTCAATACTTTTTTCGACAGCTGTATATTTCAAGTCAATCTCGACACACACCGCCCATTTCGCTCATGCAGCTATTTCGAGTCCAGCATTTTTAAAATACGCCAGTGATTATGTGGCAATTCGCCTTGCGTGGGCGTACTAGATAGGTAAGAAGCTTCAGTGTGTCACCTCAGGAGATTCGGCCAGGAGTGCCTTCACAGAGATAAAGAAGAAAAGCAAACAGGAAAATAACGAGAGCTTGGAAGAAAGAACGGTAAAGATAAAGGAGCGACAGGTGGAGGTTCAATTTAAGATGTGCATAGAGATCATAGAAAACAAATAATCGTCCGTAATATTCATTTAGAGGAGAATTCTCAGAGGAACAATGCAATGGCTCCGACAGGTGTAGATGATCGCGAAGGAGAGATTGGCTGCTCAAGTTCCTTCTGCATTGCTGTGACGGGTGCTGCGGATACCCAGTTTGTTTCTCCCAAGCAAGGATAGAAGACAGTTAGCAGGGTAAGCTACATGGGGAGCGTTGGCATAATAGAACTTCAAGACTAATTTTCATCTTGACTATCGTCATAGGAGTGCTTAGGTAGCGAACAGGAGAGCATAGACTTCAAACTGCAAGCTAGGGTTAAAGGAGTTACGTATACATTGTGTAATCCTTTATTTAAACATTCCCTGATCTTTGAAAACATTGCTCCTTGGTCGCTATCTGTCAAATAAACAGTTTAGCTCTGTTCTTTAATACTAGGAAGTAACTAAGTTCTGTTTTGTATTTACCGCTAGTCGGACTAGCTCTTACTGTGTAAGGCAGTCGGTTGCAGATTGTTGAACTACAAAGAAGTTTGCGCAAAGTTACAACGTGAACTTTTGTTGGAGTAGAATAAATTCTCGGTTCCTTAACTTGTATTCATTAACCTTCATAAATTTCAACTGTGTGCTTGAGCTGAAGCTGAGGTTGTGTATCAGTTTGTAAAAGAAAAATAAGTTCATATTCAGTCTTCGTAACCATAGAGGATCGATGCTCAGCAATTTACCTCTATCGTGATATGTTGCTAGTGACGATTCACTCATATGGCTTTTAGTAAATGACCCCTGCTGACTGTATCTGATCGGGCAGTACTCCAAAAGTGGGTGTACACAAATCAACTAAAAAGCTAGCTTGGCTTTGGCTAAGACTATTCAATTGTTGCTTAAGCTTAAAACACGTCTTCCCTTTGATAACAGTTGTTGAGCGTGAGTTGAGAAGTCTAGTAGTTCATTGTAACTTTAGCCTAGGTCACGAACGGATTGTGTGATAGAGGTTGATTCCTCATTTAAAGTTAAAGTTCCTGGTAGGATGCCACATCTATGACTGAGTACGCGGGACTTGTGCCCGGAGAATTTAATTAACCATTCATTTGACCAGAGTTCAAGGGAATCCAGGTCCATTTGAATAGTTTTGACGCTTATCTGCAGAGGTTCTGAGGGAAATGTTTAGACGATTTTCATGTCATCCACAAATAGAAACGGTTTGCCAGATTTGATTTTATCGTAAACATCATTGATATGGGGGCGAGGAACAAAGCTGGACGAACTACCCTACCTTGCAGTACCACTCGTTATTGCACGTGGTTGTGATTCCAGGTTAGTAAAAGTCTAAGTGCGACCCTCTAAGAAGGATGTAAACCAAGCCAGAAGTGCGTCACGGACTCCGAATGACTTAAGCTTCAACAAAAGCCGCTTATGTGGAACATAATCAAGGAAGATGATGAGTACTGACATTTTGGCATTTACAGCCGACGTAATGTTATCTAGAAAGTCTAGCTGACAGTTGCTACATGATCGTTTATTCATAAATCCATGTTGTTAGTCACTTAGGAGTCTGTGTGTCATAAGATAGTCAACGAGTTACTTTTGGATTATTCTTTAAAATACTATAGAAATGATGTAAATATGCTTACAGGGTTGATAGTTACCCATTTCGTTTCGTGCACCGCTTCTATGTTGTGTAGTGACCATAGAATGTTTCTGTTGGGGTGGAAAATGGCTATATGTTAGAGAAAGGCTGAACATTTTAAAAAGTAAAATGGGGATGTCTTCCTCACCATGCGTGAGTCACTTTGGGGGAATGCCGCAAAGGGAGAGGATCCAACTGATTTCAAGGCGGATTTAACTGCGATATTTATAATTGTCTCCGACAATATGCGGTCAGTGTAATTCGTCTACAGGCTCGGTCTCGTCAATAAATGAAGAAGCGAAATATCCACTGAACGCCTCACGCATGCAAATTGGGTCCGTGATATTTACATCTTTTTGTTGGCTCGAAATGGGGGTTCGGTCGGTCGGTCGCACATTTTTAAACATATGTTGTTGCTGCATGTTTGGGTCGATGTACCTGCTCTCGGCACCGAAAGATCCACTTACCTAAGCAGTGGTACCAACAGTGGTCTCGCAGTACTCTCTTGTGAAGGGCGTACCGTTTGCTTTTCACTTGAACGTGGCTTGCATAGCACTACAATACGAGTGGTGTGAGTTTAGCCATAACTTCTTTACCTTCCAGATATCAGGCAACTTGATGTGTTTCGTCCCACGTGCTTGTAATGGATCGCTCTCACTCGATGTGACCACTGTATGGGCAACGCCGGTGTGCTGCCGCTGGCGTTCGGCCGAAGGTCTCTTAGCTCCTCATAGATCTTCTTTGGTTAAGTCACTTTTAATAATTACCTGTCAACCTCACAGTGGGCGGTGCTGTTTACCCATCGTGTAGATTCGTGCTGGTCAGTCGCTGATATCGCTAAAGTACATTACGGAATCGATCGGATATGCACGCTCAAATTGACGTATCGTGTTTTTGGTTGGGGTTTTCCTGAATCATCTACGTCAGTCGCTATAGTATTTTTCCGACGCCAAAGTTGCGAGCTCGGAGGAGTTCTTTCAACTAATCCATTGTGTCTTGCTATTGACCTTTTCCTGCGACTATGATGATTTCGTATCTTCCTCTAACATTTCTTCGGATACCTTTTTGGCTGTGAATTGACATTTTCTGCACTGCTCATAATTTCCTTTCATCTTCTTATCATTATTACTCCGGTTCTTTTCATTTTGGGGTGCTCATTCGATTAGCCCTCTCCAACTCCATACGAGCGGCCCGTGTTCACTATTTGCTAATATTCTGGGTCCCACTCGACGCACACGCTGGGTCCCTTGCCTGTAGGCCTTTTCGGGATCGCTGGCTTTTGTTGCATGTAATCGATCATTCAGTTTTTGAACGCTCTGTGGAAGCGAGAGTCTGAGTTGTACAAACCATAATTCTCATCCGTCCATCTTCCCGTCTTGTGACTTTGATGGCTACTCTGCGAATAGATCGTGCCGAAATAGTAATGCACTGTGCAGCAGTTTGTGTTTGCGATAGTTTCACACGTTTTGTGACCCTTCTACAGGCCATACGGAAACTCTGTTAGTTTTACGATAGCTGATCATAACACGTTGATTTATAACCTCACATTTAGCTAATATTCTCTTCCTCACTTTTCTTCCTCAGGTGTTGCCCTGGTTGAGCTAGTCACAGAACCAGATTTCACTAACTCTTCACAAGTAGCAGCTTTTATCAAGGAGCTCTCCACTGTGCTATCGTTCATCGGCAGCTGCAGTGCGAACGCCTCTCTCGGGGAATTGCGCGTCGATGTGAACGTTTCCGTTGGGCCAAGTCGAACTGAGCAGGGACCGCGTACCGAAGTGAAGAATGTCAACAGCGTTCGCGGTGTAGCCAACGCAATCGGTGAGATCAGACATCACGGTATCCGATATGAGACTTAGCATATGTTTCTTCGCTATTCCTCTGCTCACTGTTTCGATTCTCAGATTCCTCTGCCACATCAGTATGCTCAAGCCTTGTTTTTTATTTCTACAGTCGATGTGAAAATTTTTCTCATCATAGCCTCTGGTTGCTAAGGGAGTGGCGTCAAGATTGATTCTTGTTTGCACATTGGGAACTCAGCGGACGCACGGTCAAACATGCCCTCTATTATTTTTCCCTGCGCCCAGTAATAGATATTGTAGCCAGTGGCTTTCGGGTCTACCCTAACGCGACGGGCTGTCGTAACCAATCGTCAGTATCACATAGGCATCGAACTACGACTTCCACACCTCAGTTGTGGTTGTCCGATATTTGTTTGAGTAGCTGGTTGGACCCTTCATCCCAGCTCATCCACTCCGCGGTAGGCACTCACATCACATATTTAATTTCGTTTATTATTATTATTCTTATCGTTATTATTTTTATTATCTCTCGCCAACGCCTCACTGGCAGATAACGATAGAAATTTTTTAAACTGTCGATTTGGATCATTCACTATTGCTTTTGATGCAACAGGATCGCGTACTTTTCCATGTATTTATTGTGCCTGACCATACGGCTTCTCACCTTTGGTTTTACTGTTTTTGTGCTATTTAATCCGTGATCTTTTGTGTCATGTAATTATATTTATCAAGTTCCGACGTCATGTAGACGCATGTAGCCTCTATTGACGTGACCATCTGCTGTATTCACATGGTACCTTTCCTGGCAACGCGTTTATAAGACAGCTGTCACATGCTGAAGGTGAATTTTCCATTACGAATCCATTCAACCCATGCTGCTTGTTCCGCTCGCAGTTGGTGACTGTTTTGGTCCACCACTTGTGGTTCTTGCGTTCACTGGAATCTGCTTGCGTTGGGAAAGCAGATTCATCGGTTTGACCCACAACATCCTCACTTGGCGTCGAAAGTAACGAATTCGGTATAATTCAAGCTGATTTAGCTACCGTCAGGACGAGACTAGACCTTAGTGTCGTGTGACGGTTTGCGTATCTGGATGACCCAACGAGTTATACAGAGTGGGGCCCTTCGGCCTCTTAAGAGCTACTCTTACCAAGTTGATCAATGGTTAGAAGTCAGACGAAGTCGGTGTCCTGGTCCCCTAGGCTGGGAGTTTGAAATGGGATGGCGTTTATTTCTGTAAAACCGAATCATTGCCACATCCGCTGCCTTGGGGACAAGATTTTGAGCTAAGGGCATTTCTTGATGACAATAATCGTCCACCTGTCTAGGTCCGTGCACCCTGGCAGTATCTCAACCCACGCACAACCATGAATAGTTCAAACTACAACCGTATCCTTCATCGGCCCTCTCGCAGATTGTCAAGGGTTGCTTTATCTATTGCACAAAGCAGAGTGGATAAGCGAAAACATGCTACTGCTGACGCATCCCTTCTTTTCTTTCCAACGGTTTCTTTTACTACACTCACAGTCCCCATTACTAACCTACCTACTATAACTTCCAGCTTAATTGACAGCAACCGCAATGCTACTGCACTCATACCATTTGCAACTGTGTTCCCGCACCACCCCCTTGAGGCTAATCGTCAACTGATCATTCTAAGACCACACTGTACCATTTCTCCGGCGGCGTTCAACGTTTGCACTCTAGGACAAATTGCTTAACAGGCTACACTCGCACCCACGTTAGACACACTGCGTATTGACGCGTGATGAGTTTCCGAAACTAGAATCAATAACTCGCATGGAGTTGATGAATTAACTGCACCCGCTTTGTCCTCTCGCTATTGGTTGCACTCATTCGGAAATGCTGATACGGCAACGACTGGTCAAGCTGGTATAACCATCATTCTCAGCTCCGAAACCGAGTCATCGTTGATTGGTTGCATTCTCGTGAGCAGCCGCTTGTGTGCAGTCGGTTTGAGGATATCTACTAAGGTCGGTCCACAAAGTAGTTCTGGACGATTTTTGTCTGTGGTTTCCGCTTATGTTCTCATCGATTGCAGCTTTGATACTGCGAAGGACGCTTTCTACCACGAATTGAACACGGTACTGCGCAGTGTTACCACTTCAGATATCCTAATTTTTCCAGGGGATATGAATGCACAAGTAGGTCGCCTAGGCACTTCAGAAGCTCAGCTAGGTGGTACATATGGGCTCAACTCCAAGCGTATGGACAACGGTGTGTGCGGAGCATCAGCTGTTTCTTAGTAGCGCCGCTTTTAAACGCAGTGGCGCCGAAGTGCCACTTGGCGTCCTCCTGTAGCTGGCCAGCAATGGGCCCAAGTAGATCACGTGGCCATAGGCTACAGGTGGCGTGATTCCATCCCAGATTGCCACGCTTTCTGGAGTACTTGCGTTGACTGTGAGCACACTTTGGTACACTGTCGCTTTCCATGAACTTTAACGCAATACTCACCAGGCGTCACCCATCATCATCAGCAGCAGCTGCAGCAGCAGCAAAAGTACATTAGCCATTTAAACTTATGCTTTGCTGTCATACAACCATAACGACCTACGGAACGAAAATGAATAACAGGGAAGGGGGACTTACCGGAAAACCTTAGTGACCTAAGAGCACCTTCAGGGTCAAGGCGTCTTGTGTTAATAACATGCCGTCACAAACAGCTGGCTATCGTGCAAAGATAAGGCGGCATCGGCGAGACAACTTCCTTGCGGCTTTCACAGTCCTGCGTCATAATCAACCATTACCTCGCAGGTAACTCAGCACCAAACACACTTTAAACAGGCAGTCCGACTAGGAGACGACAGCAGACACGTCACTGGTGCCGACTGCGGTCCATGTCCTGTAACGTCTCAAGCCAAGCACAAGGCGGGCCACGTGGACTCCAGCCTGGAAAGCGAGACGGACCGACATCTCCAAGTTTGGTCGTCAATGACTTCATTTCCCGCTGCTAAGTTGACTTTTACTCACCTTGGACCTTGCGCCACCCTACATCTGGCAAACAAAACAAGACCCTTCTTCGCAAGCGGTGCCCGGATATATGTAGTACGTCCACAAGCCAACGCAACTTACTCTGTGCTTTCTGTAGTTCCAAGAGACTAGCCTGGTTATCACTCTCTAGTACTCGCTTACCCACATCATCGTTGCTGACACGCTGATGCCGTCCGACACCAGAAATGCTCCTCAGACAGCGATGATCAGAAACTTAAAGGTGCCGCAAATCCTGAGATCGGACAGGCCAAGTCTCACTCACATAGAGTAGGACGGTCCTCATTGTGGTCTTATAAACACGGCTTTTCAAATGGAGGGAAGATCCTCTCTGACGCCAAAGATGTTGCATATTCGAAGAAGCAGTTCAGGCTTTGGCAACACGTGAGCTGACCTCAGTACCTACACACGCATCGTTGCTGATGCAGCTTCTAAGGTAAGTAAGTTGATCAACTATTTCAAGTTCCTCCCTATCTGGGGTCATGGGATAATCAAGTGGTAGGTTGTCCGGCTGCAACCCTTTGCACTTTGAAGGTGCGAAACGCATGCCAAATGGTGGGACTGCTCTAGAGAGGTTATTCAGAATTGTTTGCTACTCCTCCATATCATTAAAATGCAGGATGATATTGTCCTCATATTCTTTTAGGAGGAGCAACTCCTAACGAACGGATCAGTGAACCCAAAAGGGATTAAAACTTAACAATTTTCCAGAAATTGACAGAACAACCGCATTTGTTATACTAAAGATTGTTCTCGCACAACCTAATACTATTATTGGTAAGTAACAAGTTAAAAGAATATAGATTGTTCAGGAAGATCGCCAAAAAAACAAATAAATATCGGTACTATGTGCTGTGTAATCATCTCGTATCTGGCGCCCATTACACTATCCACGGCCTTGTTTTCTCGATCCGCTACTTAGGGGCGGGCACATTTCCGCGAACAGCCAATAGGAGTAGTGGAGGCGAACTTGGCGACCAAAACAACTGGCGGCAGTGGTGACGTGTTTGACTGGATGCAACGAAAATATTTCGTCTCAAGTGGTGCCAATTGTTCTGGTTACTAAAGTCGCCTCGGCTACTCCTGTTGGCTGTTCGTGGAAACCTGCCGTTCTCGATTGGCCAATCACGAAAGCAAGGTCGTAGACGCAGTGTACTGGCCGCCAGACAGGAGATGATTACACAACGCATAGTACCAATAATTATTTGTTCTTGGCGACGTTCCTGTTGTAACGCTGCTTCCCTCTTTGCTCTCTACCACGCAAACCCAGCCGCGACAACTCAGAACCCCGAGCCTGCTAGACCGAAGTGTATTAGGCACAGAACACTGTTCATTTTATAGGGCACAATCTATCATCTCCCATTGTAAGTTCCTGAGCTGACTCAAGCCACTTGCCTTGATAAATTCCATACCAGCTAGCGTGCGGATCTGTCACGCAGTAACCTGTTTCATGCGGACAGTCTGATTTCATCAGCAGGTTCCTCCGTGACTCAGCCGTTCTAACGCCAGTGGGTTGACAACACGTGTCCTGATGATAGGCGCTTCGAAACCATCTCATGTTCTTAGGCTTTGCCTCTGATTATCCCTTTCGATTTGCGTTTGCTTGCGTACTGTTCAAATTAACTTTTTTCGTAGGTTTTCGCCTTGGGATCAACTTGTAGCGATTGTGGTCGTCTCCGCTTTCGGGTCGGCCTGCATTGTGTTTCATCTGATGCTTGGAGGTTCGGTTGGGATCCACATAGCCGGTCATCTTCCTCTTCCAAACCAAACGTGTCTAGCAGAATGTTCCCCGGTAAGGATGGCGGTTCTGAGGAACTTTGAGTCTTGCCTTGATTCGATATGCCTGACCCCTTTCCTATTAGCTGGTAAATGACTCAGCCGTTCCTGCGGATCACTCTTCCTGTTGACCACTTCCTCGGTCTTCGGAAGTCTCACGCGAACACCATGTCACCACTTTTAGAATGACCGAACCTGCCTACCAGATTTTTCTCTACTGAACAACTGCAGTGC